CATTCTTAGATTACAACAAAATCAATTCAATAGGAAACAAGAAAAAAGAGATCCTCCTATTACTTTATTTGTTGAGGATATCTTGCAACAACTACAATATGTTGATGTCAAGTTTGAAAAGAATGATGAAGCTGCATGAGTCGACCATCATTCTCGTGGCACATCTGATGATCAACCACTGTAGTGGTAGAAAAGAAGTGTCTTCTTTACCCTTTCTTATTGGAATGTAATTTGCTATGTCACAATCTTGATGTTATGCAAATCGAAAAGAATTTGTGTGAAAATATGCTATACATGTTGCCTAACAAAATAAAAAAGTCTAAAGACCATTTCTTAGCTAGAAAAGATTTATGGGCCTTTGGAATTCATCAAGATGTTTGGCTTGATGATAATGAAAAGTTTGATCCAGATAAATTCACGTTGATGAAGCAAAACAAGGATATATTCCTGTTGACATTAAAGAAAATAAAAGTTCCTCATAGATATCCTAGCAACATCTCAAGATATGTTGATCTACAAGTTCGAAAGGTTACTCGGTTGAAAAGTCATGATTTGCATGTCATAATGCAATAGTTAATGTCACTAGGACTCAGAAACATACTCCTTGCTGATGTCTTTATGGTCTTGGTAAGAAGTTGTGTGTGAAGGTCTTAATACCCTAGGAGCTGGATCAACTACAAAATAAAATCATTCTTATATATGCTTTATTATTTGGAGATGATATTCCCTCCGTCCTTCTTTACTATCATGGTTTATCTGACTGTCCACCTTATTTGAGAAGCAAAGCTTATTGACCCAGTTCAATATTGATGGATATACCCTATTGAGAGGTATGATATATTTTATCGTTGCATCTTTCACACTTTAATTTCAGTTACTCACAACTAGTTATAGAATTAGCATGCACATTTTCATATTTAACTTGTAGGTTTTTAAGGAAATTGAAATCCCATGTTAGGAATAAGGTGTGGGCAGAGAGATTAACAATGGAAGGTTGTTTCACAAAATGAGGTCTTAAATTTTTCCTTTAGATACTTTAATGATGTCAAGACATCTTTCAACTACCTACCTCGCATTGATATTGTCCACTGAGTCCTTTCAATTCAAGTGATTTTTTCTTCCTATTAGAAAACTAGTTGGGCATTTGAGTACTTCAAACTTACTTCTACTAAGAAGTTCTAAGCACACAGACATGTTCTGATAAATTACAATTAAGTTGAACCCTTCCGCCAGTAAGTTTGATACTATTTACTTTTTATATTTCAAATTTCTTTATCATTGACTCTTATAAAAAATCACCCTTATTTACAAGGAGTTTAAAAGTTATGCCAAGCGATAGCTATGAGTCTATTCACAAATACCTGCTGAGGTTAATAGAAAAGCCCACAAAGAATTTTTTTAGTTAGTTTGCACGTCAAACACATAATGACAACAACCCACAAACAGTTATACTCAAATGTCTTATATACAATCTATTTGACAATACAAGAAGGTTTACTATGTATAATGTTAATGGATTCAAGTTCTTATGGTTCCATGTGATTAGGGTTTGCTTGAATAAAACTCTAGAGTTTTCAGTATGTTTTGGACTAAGAGTTATGCTGGTAGTCACGTCAATGACATGCAATTTGGAGGCATCCCTTACTATGGAAAGCTAGTTGATATTATTGAATTAAATTACCAAGAACTTTTCATTGTCACTCACTTCAAGTGTTGTTGGGCAAATACGACAACTTTACAGGGACTCGCTATTGATAAATTAGGCATCACGTTAGTTAATTTCTCTAAGCTCATTCATATGGGTAAATCTAAAGATGATAGGCCCTACATTCTTGCCTTTGAGGCACTAGGTTTATTATATTAAGGATGAGAAACATAAAGATTGGAATATGGTGGTCTACCTGAAGCCACGGAATCTTTATGACATGGGTGATGGGAATGACATTACTTATGATAGTGAGCTCTTCCAACTGACGAACTTTGAAAACTTTTTTTGTGAGGGAAATGATAATTTAGCCATTATTAGGTACATCTTTCTCATATATATTTTCAATTCATTTTTTAAAATTAATTACCCGCTATATGTTTTAATTTTATATAATTATTTCTAGTTATTTTTTTTTATATCTACTTTTATGCAAAGTGATGACAATTAAAATTTCCAATAATTCAAATCACACACACAATTTTTTTAGTTAAAATCACTAAATTCAATTTATTCTTTTTTTTAATAATCACTATTACAATTTGTAGCAATTTATCACTATAACTGCTACTAAGTACTCAACCGCTACAGAATCCACAACAACCAATACAACTTCAAACTCGCTCTCTATAAATGCCCCACCTCCTCTCATTTTACTTCCACATCAACCACTACCTCTCCTCTCCTCTTCATCTTCAAACCTACCTAATGTGAGTAACTTTTTTTATTTTTTTAAATTCATACTTTTATATTATTATTTATATTTGTTAGTATTTTTTTTTCCCCTTTCAAGTATTCTAATCTTCTTCTCTTGCTGGAGGTTTCAAGATATTTCATAGTTTTCACTTCATCTCTTCCATCCCTATACTTTCCAAACTTTTTTTTCCTTTCTTAAATTATACATACTACAAAATTTATTAAAATATCACGCAATTTTTTTTTTTAAAATTTCACTCATAATTTGATAATAAATATATATAATTAATTAAATCTTGCATAATAAAAATTCATATGCTATAGATATAATTACATAATTAAATTTTAACCATATTTATTAATCAAATCGGTTTTTTGTTTTTTTAATTACAAACCACAGAAATTGCACCACTTTTTAAATTGACACCAATTTTCTCTCAAAATTTCCAATTTTGTAGAGGTTATTTTACCACTATAAATTTTGGTGTTGTTGTCAAATTTTTGGCTCCCAGCAAATGAAAATATTCGGCCACACATTAATAGTGGTTTTGAGAGCAGTTTTCAGAACCGCGACAAATATTCAAATTTTATTTCCTGCTAAAATTAGTAGTGGTTAAATAACCGCTATAAAGTTCAAATAGAATTCGATGAAATGTTTGTAGTGATTTTATAACTGCTATTATAAGTCCCCAAAAGTGCTCTAATCTTGTCTCATAACTCGTAGTAGTTAAGAAACTGCTACAAATTATTATAGTGGGTTTGACTTTATATATAGCAATTAGTCATTTGCATTGGTCGATTTTGTAGCTGTTACGGTAACTGTTACAAATGGATGTTTCTTTTTGTAACAAGAGTAACACATATTCAAACATGAAACTAAGAAAAACCAACAACAACACATCACACAAATTGAAACCAAAACAAAATCCACCACTCGAGCACTACCTAGCTAAGAAGCCGAGAGGATGAGCTTGAAGGAAGGTGATCATATACATTTACAGCACGAATGTTAAACGCAACCCACCTTAAATGGCCATTAAAGACCAGATATAGCCAGAGGAAAACAAACTTGCTGTCGAGATAATGACCCAGAAGCAAGGAAGATGACACTAAGATAATGAAATGCATACGAGGGGCTTCAAAATGCAATATAACAATTGAGGGAGACACCAAAGGAGACACAACGAGCAAACAAAAATTAAAGAAAACTAAACTAGAAAGCAAGAAGTCACAATGAGTAACCTTTGATACACAAAAACAAGCATAGCACTACCCATTTTACGCTTGCATGAAGTCCAGGTGATCACGATGCTAAAATGTGAACCTTTTGGACAAAGATTTGTGAAAACCAAGCGAATGAAGATCCTTGTTGACAAAACCATGACCCATATTGTAAGGAGTAACTCGGTGACACTTATTCCCACAAGCTGCTTGAAAAGAACCACTTGGAGGAGACCGAGATGGGCTTGCAAGATTACTAGGCCAATGATGAAGGAAGGAGCATAAGGCTGACTCATTGAAGAAAGCAAAACTAAGCTCCATATTTCTAAACCCGAGCGCCTTGGTGAGTAAGAACAACTATTTGTACACACACACATATACATGAATAATATATATATTAATTTCCACAGCCATTGAGTAAGAACAACTATTTGTACACACACACATATACATGAATAATATATATATTAATTTCCACAGCCATACTAGCATTAAGCTCTAAAGAGCTAGCCTCCATATGATACCTAATTAGTTGCACTGAACAGACGGAGATCATAATGAGACCGCCGCTTGACATCGCTCACATTCACTTGGTGACTATTAAAGACTTTGAAAGTTGAAGAAATTAAACCAATTTAGTTCATTTTGCCTTAGAGACTGAGAGTAGTCTTTAACTAGTCGCTTCCTTGTTTGTTGAGTAGTCTCATGTCCTGGTGTCTAATTGAGGAAGCAAGTTAAAGTCCATTAGAAGTTAGGGCTTGAGAAAAGGACCCCACAAACATAGTTGAATTATAACTTAAACCCCAAAGAAACAGCCAAGAATCCCTTTAATAAATATATATTTTATCCAAATATGTTATGTGATCAGATTTAGGCTCCACATGAGTTAAATGAACATGACAATGATACGTCGCCTTGCTATAGTGGTCCCTACAAAAGCCAACTTCTCTGCAGCTCTTGCAAAAATTACCCATATACTCAAGAAGGATAGAGAAAGGGTTAACTAACCCTTTCTAACATATATAAGGCTGAATCCAAATAGAACAAATTGAATGGACCTAATATAAAATTAAGATAAGCTTTAAGAACCTGCAAATTAATTTTTCATAAATTCAATTTAGTATGGACTTTATTTTGCATTAAGTAATAGATTAAAGTGTATTCAGCACTTCAAAGTATTTTCTCAGCTATATCTAGCACTTCAAAGTATTTTGTGGTGCATTCATTACCCTGAAATATTTTTTGGTACATCCTAGAAAATCTTTCGGGATGCTTAATGCACCTGAAAAATATTTTGGGGTGCTAGATGCTCTTTAGCCCCTAAGTAATTATATTTTTTAGTTGATGTTTATTAATAACATCACTACAGGAATGGATCTCTAAAATAGCTACGTCAAAACAAATAAACAACTTATCACAGCAAAAACAATCACATTTATCCTGACTCATAATTGGTGAATTTAAATCCTTCAAGACAATAATTTGTAACCCTAATTTACACTGTTAGTGACGCATTCCATGAATTCCAACATCCAAAGTGTCCTTTCCATCGGTAATTAGCTGTCAAATTAGTGTTCGCCAATCTCTTATAAGACACAAGCTTCTTGAATTGCTTCCAATCACGGAGAACCACCTTGAGATCCCTTACCTTGGCGGCAATGCTCCGGCAACAATTGGCGTGGACGGTGGCGACAACCCTAAGGTCCTTACTATCCTCACAAAAGCCACTGAAATAAAGGGTGTCCAAGAACCTAACCCTTAGTCCTAATTCTGCAATTATTCCATAACGTCCTATGAGATCCAATAGAACATCTTGTTCCTTTTGTCCCGTGGAATTGTGCTTCTTTGAGTACCATGTTTCAAACAATGAAATGGTCTTGTTGTTTGATCGAATGAAGTAAAATCCAGTGTTGATCAAGTGATTTTCTGACCATGGATCTCCCAAGTACTTGTCTGTGCTGATTTGAAGATCTTCACTTTTGTTCTTGCTTAATCTACTAAAGGGGTTTCTAAGCCACATTACATCTGTATCCTGTAAATTGAAAAGGGGTGGGGCAAGGATTATATATAATTTGTTATATATTTGTCATTAAAATTTATAATAATAAATATACCATATATATACAGTTTTATTTTTTACAACAAAAAGTTCAAAATTATCGTCCAATTAAAATCAACATATCTTAATTGCCTTTAATTTCTTTCTCATATAATTTCTCTTTATGTATACAATTAATGAAGGCAGTTGTGTCAGGTCAAAAAAAAAAATTGAAGGCAGTTGTGAAAAGAAAATAACAATATTAACTTTTTTGCAAAGTGTCTAATATTTAGGATCATAGAAATGTTCTGAAAGATTATCCTATACTACATCTGCTTCTTAATATATGATCTAGTTTGACCTTCAATTTAGTTATAAATATAAGATCCAATGCACTTTGTCTATCATATTTATCTATTTTTTTAAAGGTAGTTATTGTAGTAGTTGCAAATGTTAAAAGTTTCATCACATGGTAGTTCTAACTAATAAACATGATTAGTAAGGGTATTTTTGGAAATATAATACCGATTTATTACGAATAATTAACTTAACTAATTTTCTTAATATACTCAAATTAGTTAATTAACTTAACTAATTTTCTTAATATACTCAAATTAGTCAACTAACTTTAATATTAAGAACTGGAGGTAATATAAGTATCTAAGTGGTAAGAATTATGAAATGAATTGCATTGTCTATGACTTATAAATAACACATTTTGTTACAAATTTTATATTTTATATTGATTTAGATTGTTTGAATTTGACTTTCAAAAATATAAAAAGAAAATAATTTAAAATAATATTTAATAATAAATAATATAGCCTAAATATAAATTACCTAAACGTATTTGGCCAAAAAACTTACCTAAATGTAACAAGGTCACGTAGTATAAGCTGGGAAAATGTTTACTGTTTTCCTGACTTTTGCACTCGTTCTAGTTCTTTTCATAAAGGCATATTAACTATTTTGTTGATATTAAGGAAATCAATTAAATTTAGTTGAAGTAAATTTTTTTTATAACTTTCCAAAAATTACCCTCAGTCAAATTAAAGCTATTATTTGAACTAAGAGTGTAAGTCACAATGGCATTTTCGAACGACTCAGAAATAATATTTCATTAAATTTTATTTAAAAAACTTATATTACAGACCAATAAGTAAAATCTTATAAATAGGGTGGACCAGTAATAAATAAAAGGGGTCCCCTAGCATGATGTTAAAAAAACTAGTTAATCTTTCCAATCTTCGTGGGATCGAGATTGTTCCTAGACAATAGGAGGATGGGTGGAAATAGGATGTGTCTCTCTCATTTCTTAACATTATACCAGTGATGTTTCGTTTTCACACTGAAATTTTTACTCTGTTCTCTGTTCTTGTATTTAAACTATTAATTTTTTTTTTTTAATTTAAAAAAATGTAGGATAAGCGTTGTTCCACATAAGGATTTCAGACAAGACAAAAGACAAATGAAGTAATTAATCACATGCCCGAATGAATCGAACTTTTTCATTGTCTGTTTCACCTTCACGTGAATTTGAATTAACAAGAAAACAAAAGAGACAAATTTGGCATTGGGCAACTTATTCTGGATGGCTAAAATTAGAAGTGAAGAATTTGAAAGACTGTCAATTTTCAAAATTATTTTGAAGGACTACTGTGCTCTAAAACCGTAAAATGTGGTCATTGTTAAATTTGTGTTTTTAAGCAGTAAACTTTTGAACTGTGACTTGTAAATTTGGGTCACACGCCCAACAACATTAATTATAAGGTCTGTGTGCAGAGATTTGTTTTAATTCTAAATATAAGACACTAACTTATTTTGTCTTCTAAATTTATAAATTTGTTTTTATTCTCTTCCTCCGATTTTAAACTCTTCCTTCCAAATTTGTTATACTCCCTCCAATATTAAATGTAAGAGCTAGCAGATAGGTTTAATTTAGCTCTAGACGTAAGATATTAATATATTTTATTTCCCCTTCCTTCCTTTAAACTCTTCTTATTGATTGCACATGCTTAGAGGGTCTTCTTTTAGTGAAGTAGTACCCAATACATATTATTGATAAAAAATACTCTAGGTAAATCAATAAATATTTGTTAAAAATAACTAATTTAAATATTTTTTTAATTTATATAAATTAGTTATTTAGTTACTTCCTTCAGCACTAAATATAAGAGTTAGTATAAGGGTTGTTTCTATTCTAAACATAAGACATCGATTTACTTTATCTTCAACACTATAAATTTTTTTCTAACTTTTCATATTAATTACATATATCAATAAGGATTTTTCTATCAATGGAGTAATTTCTAATGCAAATGATTTAACAAATTATTTTAGAAAAGAAAATTTACGCTTCTTATAGATAACTAATTAAATTAATTTTTTTTAATTTTTACAAATTAATTGTCTAAATCATATATTTAAACCTATTTAGTACTACATTTAGGGGTTGAGGACACTTGAATTTGGATTTGTAAATGTGCAGTCTAAGTATCTAACAGTCAGAGAAAAGAAATTTACAAGTGCTAGAACAAAAATTTACTATACTTTATTTTTTGGTAAAGTACTACATGTATATCTATTGAAAATTTAACAATGATATTAAAAATAATTAGATCATCAATCTAATTTAGAAAAGAGTCTTGATCCTTGAAAACAATTTTATAAATTTGTGGTCTTTCAATTTGAATAATTTTTTTATGAATAAATAACTTTACTTTGTGCTCTTTAAGCATACACTCTTCAACGAATTATTTCAATGATTATTTGGTTTCATTGTAATAATTATTAAAAATTAGAATCCTCAGTTAAAAAAATGGTAAAAATTGAGAATTTACCCATCACATTAATCAGAGCTTTCACTGCCTGCCAAAATTTGTTTTCCTGGGGATTTTGCCACAATGAATATTTCATATTCATAAATCATTGTTAATTTCTCATGAATAGTGGGGCCTTCTCAACTTTTTATTATTTGATTCAAATATTGAAATATGATAAGTGCGAAAAAAGAAAAGGAGTTATATGACAAAATGCTTTTAGGATGACAATGGCATTTGACTGCAGCTAAAAGCCAAATTACAATTGTGAATTTTGATCACTTATATAAAAAGAGATAATATGATAGCCGCAATTTTATATCGTGGAAGTTTTTCAGTGAAATAAATATTCATAAAATATCATCATTATTTTCTTTGCAAATATAGTTCATTTTTCTTTAAAATGATTTAAATATTTAAATATCCCTTGTCAAAATATTGAATTCAGAAACTTTAAGAAACATTGGAGAAGATATTAAAAATAATGTAGTTTATTAGGGAGCAGGGAGATGAACTATTTCATTTAGAAAAATTTTGAAAAGTAATTATGCTATAGTTTTGACTGCCTATGTCTAAGAGAAAAGAGGATTGCTAAATAAAGATTAGATAGGGTTTTTTGCGATAAATAAATTAATTTAAATAATTTACTTGGAATATCTTATTTTGGATACAAAAACTCAAGTTTTACATTTATTTTTTATATTTTCACAGATAAAATTGGAATTTCAAAGAACCAAATAATTTTTTTTTTAACTTTTCTCTCCCATTGCATTGCGGGGCTATATTACATTTTTAAAAGAATATAAAATTAAAGATAGAAAATAAAATGAAAACCAATAGCACTGTCTGCTTGTATTTTATAATAATGTTTTGGCCAAAAGTAAAGTAATGAAGATTTACAAGGACAATTGTGGGTTCTTATTTATTGAAGCCATAATTTGTTAGTATGAGCAATCTAATGAATAACAAATAGTCAAAATATATTTTTCCTGTTATATATGTATGTCAACATTTTATCTTTTTCATTAAATCATATTAAATTAATTTGTAAAATTTTCTCTCAATTTAATATTTTGATATTTAACTTTTGCCACATTTTCCTATACCCTAATTAACAACCCCAACAGAGTATTGTCTATTAACCATTGAAAACGATGTCACCTATACATTTTATTTTACATATATTATTGTGTTTATCAAACTTCTAAATGGAGAATTTTCTTTTTAGTTTTCTTAAGCAAGACAATCTTTTTATTAATATCAAGATTGTTTCAATTATTAATTGAACTAGCTAATTCATAAAATAATAAAAAATCCTAAAGCTATAGTTAGGAAAACAAAATTCATTACTCTTAATTGATACAAATAAAACATAAGTCCATTTTTATTGTTCCATTCATTTTCTTATCTACTATAAAATCCTCTCTTGTTAACCCAAAAACCAAAAAAAAAAAAAATGTTGGCTTTTAATTAATATTTTCACACCAAAGGCACATAGTGACAGCATTTAATTGACGCTAGCCACCAGTATTGCCGTGACATTAATTAAATGGCAGTGAAACTCAAAGCTTTACACCTCGCAAATAAATGATCCACCTCTCAGCATAAATGTTACTCCTCCGGTTCTATTCACAAAGAAGATATTTTTTAGTCTTATTTACAGAGAACTGAGAAAATTTTTTTATATGGATATATAATTTTATGCGTCACTTATTGTTGTATTGACTTTATTTACATGAGATATGATATATATTAAATAGGGATAAAATTATAAAGTTGTTAAATTTTTAATGAGAGTTAATAAAGTTTAAGTTTTTTCTTTTATCTGTGTGAAATATATTGAAAGTAATTTACAAATAGAATCAGAAAATTATGCTACTAGAAAAATTGCAACATCCTATATTATATAGCCTCTTCTTAATAGATATTTATAGAAATGCTATAATCTTGGAGATCTCTGCCTCCATTTAATTTTAGTTTCCCAACACTCACAGTGCCCTATAATTAAATGCTAATTAATCATTTTCTAACTAATTGCCCGCACTGGCGCCACACCATATCTATATGATTTCATTTTGGCATTTTAATTTTATAAAATATTGTTCTAATCTTCTAACTCTAACACTGTTGTTTTATTGAGAAAAAACTGACATTAAAATTTTAGATATTAATATAATATTCACAAATATTAATATATCAAGTACAATTTTTTAAATAATAATAATTGCCACAAAAAATTATTATTTGAGACTAGTAATATTAGAGTTAAAGGACTGAAAAAATATTTTACAAAATTAATGGATTAGACAGAAACATTGTACTGCAAAGTTAGAAAAACAAACACAAAAACACACACGCACATATATATATATATATATATATATATGTGGTGTATTTTCTATTTGTAGATATTTTTCCTATGAGGTTGCCAAAAATATAAAAAAAAACCTTCCTGTTTCGCGGTCTAAAGAATTAGATTTAGTTCAAAATAATTTTTGCTATAAAACTTTTAAAAACCATAAATTATGATTAACTCCTTCCCATTTACCATAAGTGTCGGTTTAGAGTTTTTATTCTTTTTTAAAATATCTGTAATAAGTTTAGGCGCTCAACGAAATATTTCCAACATAAAATATGTTTCTTTTCTTGGGCTAGCAACATAAATGTCTTTAACTAAGGGTACTTAACAATAATTTACTCAAAAAGTGAAGAAAACGTACCGTGAAGACGAAGTTATAACCTCGTTTGAGCACCTCTAAGAGGAAATAAGTTCGCGCCCACATCATTTCGATGAAGTCGTTGGACATGTACACTTTCTCTGTCTCTAAATCTCCGCCGTCTGTTTCCAATTTGTAGCAGATCAGCCGTCGAAACTGGCAAAGCTCGTACGCCGTCCGATCAACCGCCACGATCAGGAGATGATCAACCAGAGGTCTTGTGCCTTCTCCCACCCAGAAGCTTTCGAGGAACAGGTCCAGCATGGCAGTGCCTGGTTCCACGTCAGCTTCTGCATACGCCTTGTTTATCACTGTTATTATCACTGTCTTCTTCTTCTTCTCCCCCATTGTTGCTCGAGCCAGAGCTGCATCGAGCTCATCTCCAGCTTCATCAATGGCCGCCTACATAGATACACAAATTAATGTATATACTGGCGTAAAATATCTTCTTTGACTAACGCCTTTGGAGTTATAGATACTCTTGTGTATCTCATATATATATATATATATATATAGAGTGAGAGATTTGAAAGCAGTTTATTGTGCTGACTAGGTTAATAATAAAACAGTCTGACTAGTTAGAAACTCAAACTATGAATTTATTGTGTTAAATTATTAGTCAATTCTACACACACACACGCACACACACACACATTACAGCTTTTGTATGAAATGGAAGTGAATGATAAGTGCGGTGAAGAAGATTGCTAAAACTCTCGGGATATATACAAAAACGCCTAATTTAACTGGATTTAAGATCTTTTATCTGTTCCCTTGGACTCTAATAAAAGAAATGTTACCTCAAGTTCCGTCGACATTTGTTAATTCCATGACATGTAATGTCGCTATATTGGGAACAACATGTGACATAGAAAATTTGACATATATAGTATATATGATAAAAAGCTAATCTGGAGTTCGTCTGTGGTGTTCTACAGATCAAGAAAGCTGCTAAAACTCTAACAACAGAACCAGTAATCAATTTTTCATATGGGCTTCTGCTAATTCAGTGGTATTATATACAGTATATTCTACAGAACTGAGAAGTAAAGATTAAAGCTATGAAAGACCGAAGATTGGAGCCGATAAAAAGCACCCATGAACGATATTCAAGTGATGGGAAGAGACAGATTAAAAGTAAAAACTATCTGAGTTCTGAACTTACAGAAGATGACGAGTTGGGTGAGAGCCTGCAAGAAGAAGGTGGTGGTTGTTGCTGTTTTTTGTGGCGGGGGAGGGAAAGTAAAGGAGTTCTGAACTTACAGAAGATGACGAGTTGGGTGAGAGCCTGCAAGAAGAAGGTGGTGGTTGTTGCTGTTTTTTGTGGCGGGGGAGGGAAAGTAAAGGGTGGGAGAAAGAGAGAGAGAGAAGGAGAAGAGAAGAAGAAAGGAGAAGAGAGAAGAGAGCCAAGTTAGTGATAAGGGTTTGTTTGGGATATTGATGATCCATGGCCGCCCAGTGATATGATTGGCCAAATGGAATTGATATGGGTGTGTGAATAAGAGAGAAGAGTGAGTTTGTGAGATGACAGGTGAGGCAAATTGGGAGGGCAAGAGGGTCAAAGGGTGGGGTTAGGAGTAGAGAGAAGGGTTTAAATAGACGACATGACAGTTTTCAAAGGAATGGGATATTATGAGTTTCATGACAACGTCGGTGAAGTTGCCGCACCTATATATTTCTCCTCCATTTCTTTTAATTAATTCACTGCGTTTTTTGAATAATTACGCTGCCTTTTATGTTTCTTTCTTTTTGAGGAGCCGCTAACTAAGACGTAATTTATAGGATAAGTTTTAAAAGAACTGAAAAAAAAAAATGAAAAACTGTTAGAATCGTGGATTGTAACTAGTGGATATGATTGGTATTGAAAATTTAACAATGATATTAAAAATAAGTGGATCATCAAGTTATTTTTTGTTGGAAACGAACGTTGATCATTGAAAATAATGTTACATATTTGTGGTCTTTCAACTTGAAATTTTTTTTTTTAATGGAAAGAATAAATAACTTTACTTCGTGCTCTTTAGCATTGTCTTTTTTTTTTTTGGTGAAGTCTTTAGCATAGTCTTTTCAATGAATTATTTCAATGATCATTTGGTTTCATTGTAATTATTAAAAATTAAAATCCCTAGTTCAAAAAAGTGGGAAAAAATTGAGAATTTACCTAGGGCTGAGCAATGGGCGGGATGGGCTAACTTGAAAACCTACCTATTTATGAATAAACGGGCATGGGCTAACCCATAACCAGTATTAGCCCATTTAGCCTGTATTAAATGGGCTATGGGGACAGTTCGTTTGGGCTAATTGAGTTCCTGAGTAACCCATTTATTTTTCTTTATTTTTTTTTTGTAATTTTTTCAACATAGCTACTTTATATATATAACCTTATGAAGCTGTCAATAAATTTTACGTGCTAAATAGCAAATCAAATATGAAAAAACATTACATAATATCAACTATATTCAATCACACAATCTCACCTAATGTCACAAATAATCAAAATCTGATAAAATCATAAAAGTAGTCACCAATCATAAAAGTCTCATAAACTTTGAAAGTTCCAACTTCCACCTAAAGGATAAAATAAAAGTTTAGATAAGTATGAAAGTTTGATAAAAGATGAATGAAAACAATATCATCAATTAAACGAAGAATAAAATATTTAAAAAAAAATAAAACTTAAACTAGCGGGTATGGACAGTTTAATACCTTGCTCATAGCCCGTCCTGTTTAATAGGTTATCCCGCCCATTTAAGCCCGACTGTTTATAATTACTTATTTGGGCTAATTGAACGGATTTAAATGGACAAAAATTTCATAGGCCACGACAAGTTAGCGGGTAATGAGTTTTTTACTCACTCCTGAATTTACCCATCACATTAGTCGAAGCTTTCACGTACTGCCTGCCAAATTTTTTTCTCTGGGGGTTTTTGCCACAATGAATATTTCATATTTATGAATCATTGTTTATTTCTGGCGAGTAGTGGGGCCGAAGCTTTCACGTCCTACCTGCCAAATTGTTTTCTCTGGGGGTTTTGCCACAATGAATATTTCATATTTGTGAATCATTGTTTATTTCTGGTGAGTAGTGAGGCCTTCTCAATTATTATATTATTATTATTATTATTATTATTATTATTATTATTATTATTATGTTCAAATATTGAAGAATGAAACGTGAAAAAGAAAAAGAGTTATCGGACAAAATAGTGTTAGAATAATGATGGCATAGGACTGCAGCTAAAAGCCAAATTACAATTGTGAATTTTGAGAATTTTTTCAGTGAAATAAATATTCATTAAATATCATTATTATTTCTTTTCAAATTTAGTTTATTTTAAAAAATTTTAAATATTTAAATAAATTTTTTCAATATCCCTTGTGAAAATATTGAATTTAGAAAACTTAAAGAAACATTAGAGAAGCTATTAAAAATAATGTAATTTATTCGGCAGCACAAATTTGAAAAATAATTGTGCTATAGTTTGACTGCTGCTCGTCCAAGCATATTCAAGACAGGAGAGGACTGCTAAATAAGGATCCGATAGGGCTTGTGATAAATAACTTGATTTAAATAATTGAGTTGGAATATCTTATTTTGGATACCAAAATTCAAGTTTTACATTTATATTCTAAATATTTTCACAGATAAAATTAGAATTTCAAATTAAATAACCTTATTTTAGACCTAGCTAGAATAAATAACTTTTTTCCTTTTCTTTCCCCATTGCATTGGGGGGCTATATTTACATTTTTAGAGGGATACAAAATTAAAGATACAAGATAAAATAAAAGAGAAATGGGAGTTTTTAAGAGTAATTTATAATAATGAAGAGTTACAAATGCCAAAAGTGTTTTTTTTTCCAGATATATACAAACATTGTGTATATAATTTTTTTTATAGAAGTGTGTCTATAAATTTTAAGTATAATATAGAAAGTTTTAAATATTATTTATTGACATAAATTGGTAGTATGAGGAATCTAATGAATGAGAAATAGTAAAAGTATATTTTTCTTATATAGAAATATATATTTTTGTTAAATATATGTATATAAACATTTCATTTTTATTTTCATCAAATCACCTTAAATTAATTATTAAACTTTTCTCTCAATTTAATATTTTGATATTTAACTTTTGCCTTATTTTCCTATGCCCCAATTAGCTAGCAACCGTAACAAAGTATTGTCCATATATCGTGACTATCGAAAACGTTTTTACCTATAAATTTTTTGATGTGGGTGGGTGTGTGTATTAATGTGTTTATCAAACTTCTAATCGGTTAACTTTCTTATTAGTATCTTGGGCCCAAAAAAAAAAAACTTCTTAAAAAATCTTAAAGTACGAAGTAGTTGGGAAAACAAAAGATTGTTACTCTTAATTAATATAAATAAAACAAATATAAATCCATTTTTATTGCTTCAAGAATTTCTTATCTAGAATAAAATCCTCTCTTTTTAACCCAAAACCCCCCCAAAGAAAAAAGATGTTGGATTTTAAATTAATACTCCCTCCTGTGCTATTTACAAAATTCCAAATTTTGAATTGGTTTGGTCTTTTATATAAGATCTCGCTACGCATTGTCTGAATATTAAATGCGTTTTTATCAATTTTGCATTTAATTTATTTTTTATTCTCTTTTATCCTTTATCTCATAATTTGTAATTCTTTCTTCCTTATTTACTCGCTCATTAAATAAGCATATACTTGACCAACAAGTTATTAATTGAGGTGGTGAACGACCTTACCCTTATAAAGAGAAAAATACAAGTTCAAATCTCTAGAAGTGCATTTTACTACTACAAAATATATTATTTTTGTCTGTTCTAAAGGTTCTTTTTTGTCTGTTTTAGGGGAGACATTGATAGAAGATATGTAGATAGTAATTGTATATTTACCTGTTTTAAAATAGACAAATATTGGCATCAATATATATTCGTTTGTTTCATAACAGATGAATATGGGCATGCATATGTAGAAAACATATGAATATTTTTTTATTTTAAAAAAAGATGAAAATTTGCATATTATCAGTTTTTATTCAACCTACGATTCCAAAAGCATACATATAGTAAAACTAAAACAGATTACAAAAAAAAAAAAAACAATTCAGCACAACCAAATCATATATTTTTCATATAAATAAAATCTACACAATCCACAATTTTAAAGGTCAAAACATTTAAAACAAATAACATCCTAATTCATTAGCTTAATTAAGCGAAAAGAACTATGCATAGTCATATAACAATTAAAGCAATTTTATCCAATTAAGCCCAATTCCAACAAAACTAAAGTAATTCAAGACTAAGTTAAGCTATCCAACACAATTAAATCAAACAATATTAATTAGGATGATTGTAATATTCAACTGCTTGAGCTTTTCAATATAATTTGAAGCACATTTCTCCTAACACTATCTACCTACAAAGTAATAAAAATAAAGCTACATAAACATATATGTTTAAATAGCATCTAAAGCTTTCTAAAATTTAATATGAAGATTAAATATTGAGAATGCTTAATTAACTATTATATTCCAATCAAATTACTCTCTTAGATATTTTCACAAACACCTTATGTGCATTAAGGTTTAAACAAGTTTAGTAAGCTTTTTAATCATCAAAATGTAACCCAATCGATATTGAATAATTCCTAAATGCAACTCTTACCAGCAATCAATTTAAATAGAAAACATATACATCCACAGACACTTACATTCATTCCTTTCAACATCCAAAAACCCACATAATATAAGAGACACAGTCCCTATGCCACTTACTTTGTGTTGTGAACAAGCTTAAGTTGGACAAGAATGGTGACTTTCATGGAAGAAAATGTTACTCTTGGTCTTGGGATGGAATAGATGAAAAATAGGAAAGAGAGGAAGAAGAAGAATGGGGAAGAGAGGGAGAAGAAGAATGGGAAAGAGAGGGAGAAGAAGACATTGAGCTACTAGAGAGGGAGAAGGCAAACTTGGTATCAGTATCGGCCCTAGAGAGGGAGAAGTAGAAGTCTAAAAAAGGGAGAGAGAGCTCATTGCACCTAAAGAAAAGACGCCTTTTCTATTCAAAAAAACAAGCGAGTATGAGGAGTTTATACTCGTCTGTTCAAAAATAAGATGAGCCAATACCTGTCTGTTCCTCATAACAGACGAGTATGAGAGCCTATACTATTTGTGAGTAAGGCTATTCTTCTGTTTTTCAAAACAGGCAAAAATAGATGGAAAATGACTTTATTTGTGGTAAAATGTGCTTGTTGGAAGAGGTGAAAAGCCTTTGTGTTCTAAGTGCTAAAAACAAAAACCATTGATCAAAAGAAAAAAAAGGATATATTTAAAAAAAATTAATTTTTATATATTTATTATTTTTAATAATTTTAACTGTTTTTCAAGTTGTCTTAATTTAGTTAATAAGATTTTATACATTAAAAAACCAGAGTCCTCACAGTGACTACATTTAATTGATTCTCAAACAATAGCCACCAGTCTTGCTATGACATAATTAACTGCTAGTAAAAGCT